TGAGAGTCCAGGCGAAAGTTGTCAACTAGTAACTTATAGTAATATGTTTAACATAGTTTTATAGTTGTTGCTTATTGCTGGCTTGAGCTTGTCAATAGATAATTTCAATTCATTAATTGTACCTCGCAAAACAAGTTACCAAATCTTATTCACTCACCCTAGCAGTAGCTAGCTACCAAAATTGTCGTACGTGTAGTAACAAATTAGGAAAATAATAAGGCAATAAAAGGGTAACATGATGCATTAAGTTGTCGTCTATGTACGAGATTCGAGAAAGGATCAAATCATAAAAATCTATTGTACGCAGTCTTATATCATAGATTGTTCCTCGACTCAAACCCGTAAAATCAATAAAGCAATGATAACTAAAATTGGGACCACTACAAAAAGGGTTGAAAGAGAGTTGAGTGATGGTGACATGTTTCTGTAATTGGATAACATTCAGTGGATGTGTAAAGAGCACATTATATATACTGTACAAAGAATAACAGACATTCCTGTTTATGTCCAAATTCAGTTGATGAAAATCCTCCTTACCCAAAGGAAATTTACCAATTGGGAACACAGTTGGTTTAGGTTGATGGGACTTTTTTTACCATGTATTTTTACCTTCTTCACATTGCATTTCAGTGATCTTTTTATGTGTAATTTGTTACCAGGCTTAATCCAAATCTTATGCACTTATGCACTCAACAAAAATTTTAGCTTGAAAGGTGTCGATCGCGGAAGTCATAAGGAGGCAGGGGCGGAGCTAGCTCTTCGCATACCGGTTCGGACTTCAAACTTTGACTCCGCCTCTATAAGAAGGGGTCTTTCAAAATGACGCGAAAAATAACTTTAGAGACAACTACTTTCGCCTAGTTAAATATCTAACAAGAGAAAACCGGTGCAAAAGTAATTCTTTCATATTGAATAAAATGAAGTCAGTGAACTTTTTTTTCAAGAGGTTGTTAAGAAGCTTCTACTGTGCAAATTAAACCTATTGAAGTGAACATCTAACCTCTTTACTATTCACATAACGTGAGTTGCGCAATTGTTGCCAATTTGCTTTATCCTACTTGGATTGTGTCTTATAGACTTGGTCACTATGGATACATGGGGATCAAGCATTAGATTTTGATTCCATCATTTAAATTCTGATCTCGGTAAGAAAAGTATTAAGAAAAACAGTCTTCGGTCAAAATTTTAAAGTATACTGGTCAGATTTTCTTAGGCAAATCTTATGGTGATTCCTTGCTATAATTTTACAAGTTATGGTATTGTCACAAAATTCTGACGGTTGCCATATTTTTGTGCAATTCAAAATTCTGACGAATCACCAAAATCTTTCATGTTGTGGCTGAAAATTCTGGTGATCGTCGGGACTCTTGGTGCTTCAAAATTCTATATATATATCTTTACACAAATAGCCGGTCATATTCAGTGTTTACTTTTTCTAGACATACACATAGATTGTACATTTGATTATACACATATAGTACACAAAATATACGTATATTATATCTCCACCGGCTATTTTTAGTTTAAGAAGTTGGGTGGTGGCTATTTGGATTAAATCCTTTTTTTAAAAGGTCCATCGAGCATAATTTCACCAATTTCGCTCATTGTAGAAGTCCAACTCTATATGAGGCTTTCTGTTCCGGCCACTTCCTATTAAGGCCCAAGCTAAATTTGGGCTCGTTAGACTAAACCTATCATCAGGGCCCATTAGTCTCTACAACTCCTCCTAGCCCTAAAAACTAGTTTACAGAAAATAACCCTAAAATAGGTAGCCATACCAAATAGGAGCGTCTGATAAAAATGGTTGTATAACAGAAAATAGGCGAAAAGTTCGCTCCCTACAATTACGTGGATACTGAGCGGAAAGCAAATAAAAAAAGAAAATATTCCCTACATGTGACTAGCCATGCGTGTGTATAACCATATGTAGTTGTGTCTCATTTTTTTATTATATGCTACATGTATTTCCCTTTACTTGTATAATTTGTGGATAATTCTGTTTACTTCATGTATAAATATGATAGATGAATATTTTAGATTTTGCATATTGATTATTCATTCATCGTTGAATAATGAATGTATAGATGTATATAGCCATGTTTGTACGTGTACCATATATAATCCATGTGTAGATGTGTGTAAAATTTATATTATTAGCGATATGTGTTTTCCTTTGCATGTATAATCTATGTATGACTCTGTTGTATAAATGCAATAGTTATATATTTATTCGAGCTTGCAGATTCAATATTCATTTATCATTGAATAATGAATGTGTAGTTGTATAACTCTGTTTGCATGTATAATGTGTGTAGTGTAAATTTTTTATATAAAAGCAGATTCATTAATGCTTTGTTTTATATGTATAAATTGCATATATTGAAAATAAACCAATTGATAAGACATCAACAGAAAAATAATCCCCCAAAAAGATAAATAAAATTATAACTAAAACTCAAGTTCTAGCAACGCTACTTCATCTTCAAATTTCTCTGATTGATTAACAATCATTTAACCTTCGACTAAATTATCTTCTTGTTTCGCCCGTCCATTATTCCACAACAGTGTGCTGTACCTTTTTCGGATCTTGTTAATAGCATAACCAACTTTTAGAAATAGAAATCTTCACTTTAATGGGAACAAAATCCTTCACTTCAATAAGAAAGATTGAGCAAAAATGAGGGAATGAAGGGAGAGAGAAACCAAATTCTTTACTTCGTTGCGATGGGAGAGAGACCAAAATAGAAAATAAAAGAGAACTTTTTTTGTTGGGTATCAGATTCGTATATTTTCATATAGGTGCCTTATCCCCTATGATCCCTAAAATTAAGTGATTTCAAATCACAATCCCTGCAGGCTAACTTGTCAACTAGCTTGACTGGCTAAAAAAAGTAAAAAGGATGTGTACAACGTTTAAAATGAGTTATAAAAATAAAATAGGTTTATTTAGAATTTATAACTGATATGGACTGCTAGTTCAGTTAATTGTTCTCATAGGGCATGTCATGCCCATTCCCATTTCTTTTTATTTTTCTTGATTCTTTGTGCAAAAGAGACTCTTTTTTTTTTTATATTCGATGTTCAATGTTCGTTTTTAGAATCGGACAAATGTAAATTCGCATTGCATAAGATCCATTAAAAAAAAAAATATTCTCTATGAGAATTTTTTTCATTTTCAATGCTCGAAGCCGAGAACTGAAAACGAACTGTGGTGGAGGACTACTTCATACATTGCTTGATTTTCGACATCTGAAATTTTGAATAAAGACAAAACCCATTCTAGAAAAAAGAAACAGAAAAGATGTACTTCATCTTGGATACACCTCAGCTGCGAAGAGAGCCCATTAAATTTGAATCACAGTTCTACGAGTTCAAAATTTCAACGGCCTCGTTTTTACTGCCTAATTGACTTTCTTTATTCTACTGTTGACTATAGAAGAAAAAAATTATTTCATCCGTTTCAATTTAGATGATTTAGTTTGACTTGACACATAGTTTAAAAAAAAAAAATTTAAAAATATGTGGTCCTAAAAGCTTAAGAGGCAAAAGCTTTTGCGGGGCCATGACATTTATGTGGCTATAAAAGTTTTTCATTAAGGGTAAACTGAGTAAAATAAAAAGTTTAAAGTTAAGTTGTTTCTAAATATATAAATCTGTCATTTTTTTTGGAACGGACTAATAAGGAAAGTGTGTCATCTAAATTGAAACGGATGAAGTAGTATCTTAGGAGTCGTTTGGTACAATGGTGGGATATCCCATTGGATTTGTTTTCCCACCTTCTATATGTGATAACTAATCCCAATATTTTAGTGTAAAAGTTATTCAGGGATTAAATAATACCCAAACAAAACATGGGATAAAGTTAATCTCAGCCATTATCTCGAAATTATTATTCTTATCTAGTGTTTTAAAAGACGTTTGTGGGAGTCGCCTCGGGGCTCGTCCGGGGATGGAGCACTATCAAAATGCACAGAGGCTCACGTATCGGGCTTAGTTCTATGAGGCTTACGTCCCAAGTGCCCGACTAGGCGCCCGAATACGCCTAACGCTCAATGCTCGGGACTCGCCTAATAGTTTCTAACATAAATTATGCGTCTAGTTACCCAATTAGCACTGTTGACCCTCAAAATTCTTTAACAAATGAATGACTAAAGTTCTATTCATCTATAAAAATATGAAATTGAGAGTAACTCAAAATAATGAGTCATATTATTACATATTTACTAATTGAGAATATAGTGAGGGCGAGTATCATTTGAAGAGTCAAAATTTATATCGTCACTTGCTATAGGTCTTCGTACCTTAGTTCTATGTGTCTTAAAATTATCATACTTTTATAATTTCGCTATTTAAAAGTATTTTTATATTTATTCAAAAGGAGTAATATTTTAAATTATAATTTTAATAAAATTTAGTGATTATTACCTTTCAGATAGGTAAACTTTGTAGTTTGATAATATTTTTAAACACATTATGATTTTTTAATCGTTTGAAAGATAAAACGTTTTAGTTGATTTTTTATCTCATAGTAACTTTAACACTATTTTATTATTTATGTTAATAAAATATGCTAGATATTTTATTTTTATGAGTTTTTTAATACCTTATAATTTTCTTAAAATTTTAATGTATTATATATATTTTTTTGTGTGATTATTTTGCTATTTTATAAATTAAAAAATTTAAAGATCCATGGGACTTACGCCTCACCCAACGTTAAGTAAAACGCCCCGCCTCACGAGTCGCGTCTTCGCCTTTTAAAAATATTGTTCTTATCCCATGCACTAAACGATCCCTTAGATTGTTAATTATCGCTTAACACAGCTCCAGATACAGAAAACAACTTGACATGAGGGGGATTATTGCAAAATAAGGACTCTTATAGTTAGAGAGGCCATTCTATCACAGGTTTGGCAAGTGTTTCTACTCACTACTGTTTTTGTCTAGACACATTGGAATAGGAAGATAATCACAAAATTTTGTCCTAATTACGAGAATAATACATGGCAGCTGTCAACCTCTATTTACAAGAAAAAGTACACCAAACTCAAAATTTGAAAGGCAGAAACCAATTCAAATTTATTAGTAAGAACTAACTACCAATCAAACTCAAATGCTTCATTAGCCTATTAGAGCAATTTGTACAATAAAACAACCACCATCACCCTCAAAATTCTTGCACCATACACTTACCAATATGCCTAGCAATCAAAGGGCACAAAATCATATAACTTATCTTTTATACACACATATAGAGTCCGAGCTAGTCACAGTGAATTCTGTCAAACTGGTTGCATATATTCTAGATCCGCCACTGGTCCTGTACCCCTATTCGGCCCGTGACCCCATCTTTTACCTAATCAATTTCTGCATGCTTCAACCCAGGGTTACGGGGAAAGATGTAGATCGATTATCCTAGATAGACAACTACATAGAATATATTCTTTGATTTTGTCCCCCTGTCATCTTCTACCTAATCAGTTCTGCATGCTTCAACCCAGAGCTATGGGGAAAGATGTAGATCGATCGCCCTAGATAGACAACTACGTAGAGGGTCTTTACTAGTCTATATGTTCTTTGATTTCGCTCCCCTCCCCACCCCTCTCCCCCAACCCAAGGAAAATATACCTATGATGTCTGTTGCCAAAACCAGAAATAGACTTTGGTGGGGCATGAGCTACATTATGCAGTATGACACCTAGAAAGCAAATGAATCAATGGTCATTAAAACTTAACTAGCTTTAATCATTTTCCCTCTTTGCATTTGAGTTTGAAGTTTCTCTTTAGCATGCCTCAGTGCATCAAGAACTTCTCTCACTGTAGCATCAAGAACAACTGGATCAATGGTTTGCTTTGTCTTTGGTAGATCCATAGGAACTAATGCCAATGAATTGTCCACATTGTCCTCTTGAAAATCCACTTCATTTCTTCCATTTTTGTTTTCCTCCTCAACTGAAGATTTCAAACTAGAACCGTAATAACAAAAATGTTAGTACAAGAATATTGGATGGTTTCACATGAATAAAAGACCTTAGAAAAGATAATATTACTATTTCCCTTTTTTTAGTTTTTGTGTCTTACTTTCCTTTTTAGTTTGTTAAAAAAGAATGTTTCTTTCTATATTTAGTAACTCTTTAACTCCAATTCTTTACGTGATGTATTTAAGATTATAAGATTTAAGGACATTATGGTAGTACATTACACACATCTTTAGTTTAAGACCACATGATTTAAAAAAAATTCTTATTTTCTCAAACTCCGTGTCTACTCAAACTTAGACACATAAGCTAAAACGGATGGAGTATCTTTTATCTGCAAATGGAGTGTGAGTTTAACTTCTATATACAAATTTAGGTCACCTAAAAAATAATTACAAGTATCATTTACAAAAGTTGTGATTCGAAACCCAAAAAATAATGGAGGTTGCCCGTTATGACAAATTAAAATACACTTCTTATAAAAAAATATTTATACTATCAGTGTATACAAGTTAAATCCATTGAGTATACATACCTATTGGGATCTGTCTTTGAGAATTCAAATTCACTTGATTTAGCAGAATGTTCTTTTGCTGAAAGATTCTCAATATCTTGGATAGAAATGCTCATTTGTGAACCATCTTTCTCTAAATTGATCGACTTTTCTTCAGATTTTCTCTTCTGAATGAGCTCTGAACAATTAAGATTTTCATAGCTAGATTTTGTACTCCCAACTGATTCTTGACAATCTCTATCTTCTGATTGTTTGGCACTGCTACAAGCTGTGGATGTTAGAGATGAAATTTCACTCTTTAAAAAGCTTGAATTCTCTGATTCATCTGAATAATAAGATATATTCTTTGACTCAAGCTTCTTTATCAGAAATTTAAGCTTCTTTTCTGCTTTGTTCCTTGATTTAGTCTCTTCTCTCAACTTATACTCCAGCTCAATCAGCTGTAAATTTTCAAAGAATTACACCATGTTACTCCAAGTGAAAAAAAAAAACTAAAGTTTTTTTAAAAAAAAATTTGAACCAACAACATAAGCACTATTACTAAATAAAGGGCAGTCCGGTGACTAAGCTCCAGCTATGCGCGGGATCGGGAAAAGAGTCGGACCACGAGGATCTATTGTACGCAGTTTTACCTTGTATTTCTGCAAGAGGCTGTTTTCACGTCTCGAACCCGTGACCTCATAGTTATATGGGCAGCAGTGGAGGACCCAAGATTTTGTGCAAGTGGGTTTAATTTTAGAAGTACATACCTTTAGTCATAAAATAGTAGTTGTCAAGTGGGTTCAAATAAAATATTTATACAAAATTTACACAGTTTTAATTCTAATTTATGCATATACACAGTATTATTTTTTGACGAAGCTACGTGGGTTCGCCACTGTATGGGCAGTAACTTAACTAGTTACGCTACTTATATGGGTAGTAACTTAACTAGTTACGCCAAGACTGCGTGCACTTTTACTAAATAAACAGAGGAATGGAAATAAGAACCTTGGTTCCCTTAATCTCTGCCTCCTCTTTTGCATTTCTTGAAGCCACTCTTTCTGCAAGCAATCTCCCTCTTAGACATTCCACTGTTCTTAAACTATCTTCTTCTTCCATTTTCTTCTCACTGAGAAAAAAAAAAAAAAATCAGAAATGTGTCAAAATTCAAGAAACAAGAAGAAAAAGGCCAATTTAGACTTCGCGGAGTCAGGATTTTTACTAAAACACGATCAAATCAAGAAAATCAACATATATAGTATACAATAACAACAACAACAAATCCAGTGTAATCCCAGGGGTGGAGTCTGGGAAGGATAGGATTAGGATAGTGTGTACGCAAATCCCACCCCTACCTTTAAGAAAAAGGACAACTCGATGTACAAAGCATCTCACATTCACGCAAGATCGGAAAAATGACACATATAAGCAGCCTACCCTGATGTAAACAGTGACTGATTATACGGCTCGAACCCGTGACCTATGAGTCACAACTTTATAGTGTGTACTTAAATTCAACATATAGTATGTATACTTAAAAGAATTCAGCGAATGGCTACGCCACTACACTTGAGTAGTTTCAAGAATGAACAAGAAATAAGGGGAAATACCTCAATTTTCCATCTGCATTTGATTCACATGTCATCTTCTTATCGATTCTCTTGTACACTCCAGTCAAACCAAGAAAGTATTCTGTTGTAGCTTTGGGAACTTTTAATCAAAGGACGCACATAAATTAGTAAAACATCAAAATTCCAAAGGAAAACTGAGGAGAACACCTTTTGCTTTAACAAAAATGGCCACAGTATCAGTGCAAAACATTTGAGAAAAGGTGAGGGATTTATAAGAAATACTCCTAGAAAACTTGATTGTTTACTGAAAATACTAGAGACTAACTTTTTGAAAAAAACTTCAAAGAATTAGAGACAGAGTTTTGGACAGTTACCCCACAATAAATTGTCTTTTTCTGTAACTTCACATTAAAGTTATAGCCAACCTTAGTGTCAGTAAGCTTTAAGTGGTCATTAATGCAACATTATGTTCTATTCCCGCTATTAAAAAAATTCAAATATGTAAAAGTAATTGTCTTATCGACAATAAATATCTGCTTTTCGCGGATCTATATGTAGGAGTTTTTGTTTTTAAATTTAAAAAACAGCCTTATAAAAGTATTTTCTAGAATTACTTTAAAATTTTTGGTAAACTTGTCACTTAATTAATACTACTATTAAATACTTCTATTATTCTGGAAAAAATATTTTTTATTTCTTTAAAAATGTCAATTATTTTAAAACAAATTTAATTTGTCAAAATCGTAAATAATATAAACATGAGGCAGTACCATTTAAGGGTCAAAGAAGTGCAAGCTGATTGACGATTTAAGCACTCAAAAAAAGTGAGTAAAGGATCAGCAGCATATTATGATGTGTTACAATACAAAATAAATTACTAATGAAATTGTCTTCACTCAGTAGCGGAGCCACATGCACCCAAGGGTCGACATCCCTTCATCATAAAATTACATTATTTAGTTCGGTAATTTTTTTTAAAATATGTATGTATACTATATAATGACATTCATTGATTTCTTGGTGAGTTTGTTTCTTTATATTTTGACTCTACTTAATAAAAATTCGAGTTCCGCCACTACTTTTACTTTAATTAGCCTTTTAGTTATGACGATTCGCACCATTCAAATGAGTTAGTTGAATGATATAATAGCAAATGGTTTGTATGCAACTAACAAACTACTACTAACAACTACTGCTAAAATATATTTTTTCTTGAGTCGAAGTCTATCGGAAATAATATTTCTAATGACTCAGGTTACAGGTAAGGCTTGTATTTACATTGCCCTTTCACATACTCACTTAGATTATACTAAATTTATTGTTGTTATTGTAAGTACTGCTTAAATGTGAATGCTGGAGCAAAACTCTTCTGCAGACTGCAAACCTTTATATTATGCATTAACTAGATGGTTAGGTAAGAAAACAACCATTTTATTAATTTGCTCTAACGTGGAACATATTTCTTTTCTCTAAATTTAATTTATTAGGGACTTTCTAACCTGCTCATTTCAGCTCATGTTTGAATTTGAAATTTGAAGAAAGAACAAGAATATTAAAAATGTGTTTATCCAAGAAATTTTGCAAGTTTTTGAATTTTTTTTTAAACTTTTCAAAAAAAAAATTTCCACTCATAAAACTGTAATATTTTTTCAAGTGAAATATATGTGCAAACATTCCGGTAAGTACCATTTTTCAACTTAACTCCAAATACTATTTTTCTTTTCAAAAATTATAATTTTTGTGTCTAAACGCCTACTAAAATTACTGAGGAAACTGTTGGCTAGACGTCACATGATTTTCCGTGCGTTTGTCCCTTTCCTTTTTTGGCTTCACTCTTTGCTCGTGTCTGCCTTCTCACTTAGGTAACACCGTAACACATCAACTTGCCGACACAACGGGAACAAAACTTCAATGCAATTGTTTTTGAATTTTTGGTGAAGGAAGTTCAAATGAAGCTTCTTCTGCTCCTCTAGCTGCACCATTTTCAACTTGGAATTGTTTTTGAATTTTTGTGAGTAATTTAGAGTGTAAATTCTAAGAAATAATTTTTTATAATTTTTCAAATTTTGGAATTCACTTCAAGTTAGATTTTTGAAGTTTCATGGCCAAACACCGACTATGAAAAAAATTGAAAAATAATTCCGAAAAAAAAGTAATTTTTTTATGGCCAAACGAGTCCTAAATCAGCTTATTTTGAAACGTGGTTTTTTTTTTTCAAATGTGTCTTTTAAAATAGTAATTTTGGTAAGAAACAATTTGTATTTGATTAATTAATTTGAAAAATACTTTTGAACATCAATTAATATTTGGCGAAACTTTAAAAAGTGATGTTAAGTATATTTTTCTCAAAAGTACTTTTTAAAAAAAAAAATTGTGAAAGAAAAGAAAGAGGTAACCTTAAATTTGTACCATTGGAATGCTGCAAGATAAAGTTATAAATATTAAACCACAATTCCAATTCCACTACAGTTGGAATTTGGAGGACAGTTTGAATCAATCGAGTGCAAGTAAGTTGGAAGTAATTTTTGTGGTAAACAATTAAAGTAATTGCACTGTAGAAGAAACGAAATGGTGGCGGCTTATAGGTGATTAAATAATGTATACCAGAAGGGGGAAAAAGAGAACCAATGAATATCTTAAATATGCACTTATAGAGTGTAGTGATAGCGAGAGTTAATAACTTTATAGCTCCACGACTGAAAAAACAATTGTTATAGAGTTTCAAATTTCATAAGTAAATTGTTATAAAATTTCAAATTTCACTTGATATATAATTTGAAATTCCATAACAAATAGCTATTTTTCAATTACGGAAAATGAAAATTCATTACTTGTGAATTTTATATCCCCGGAAGTACCAAATGGGTAGAAATGACATCATGTAGCCACTCTAAAGGGCTATTATTTAAGAATTAATCAGTGCATCCTGAATTTTAGTTTTTCAGCTCAAATTTTTGGGACAAAAATATACTGAATTATCATGAAGTTAAGATTTTTAGTTTAAAATTTTAGGACAAAATAAATACTACTACCTCCGTCTCATATTATGTGTCGTGTTTCTCTTTTACATGTCCCTTAAGGAATATTAATTAGGAAAAGGATTTGACTATTCTACCATTATTTATGTTATAAGATATAATCTCTTTTCATTGAATATTTATTCTATTCATGTGTTATCTTCATCTTCAAAAATAATTATTACTAAGGGTAAAAAAGGAAAAAAATAATGAGTTTCGTCTTGAACTTCTAAAATGATAAATAATTTGAGACAACTATTTTTAATAACCACGACTGTTAATAAGAGACGAAAAGAGTACCTAATTTCTAAATAACATATCTGGAAATGGCTATATGTGCACTTGCCCCACCAAATGGGGACTAAGGTTTGGACCTTTTGGTTCCTATCGCCATCCCATCGAGGAATTAAATTCACCCAACAATAAATATTCCAATTATTTTCTGACATTTTTCAAAAAAATTATATTATTCCCATAACCTCACATTAATTGGAACATTGTCTCCTTTCTTTCCTAGTTTCCAATTACCCATTCAAAAAGCAAATGCCTTTCTTTCAGTATCTTTGAAATATTGAGAAATAGACAAAATGTCAGTTTGAGATAAAATTATTACAAGAAAATTATGGAAGATTTATAAAGAAGTTATAGCTACTCCTATTATATTTTCCATTCCCCTCTTTGGCTTAAGAAAAAAAAAGAGAGAAAAGAGGAAATAAGAAAGTGGAGATCACCAAAATCAAATACCTTAATTTTCTCCCATCAACTACTTGCGTCAATAAATTTACTAATCAAAAACTTGAGATAATGTGTGTAAACGGAAAAATGATTCATAAGTAGTTATTAATGGAGTTACGGTTACCAAAGTCTAAGATGTCGATATCAATTTTGGCCGAATTGTTTCACATGATCACGTTTTCTAAACAAACCTGAGCCAATCCTGATTGATCTTGTAAGATTTTCTCCCCTTTTCTCCTTTATTTTCCTTTCTTTAACCTTGATTAATTTTTCTTTCATCAGTAATGAACCAGTAATCTTTTTGTACTGAAAAAGCAAAAAAGGGAATAGTTTCAGCTTTTTATTGCTTTAGGGTTATGAAGATCTCACTAGCACATCGTTGATTTATAAGATTTCCAATGGGCCCAAGGGAATCAGATGTGCCCGTACTGGCATTTTGCTGGTCCCTTTCGTTGTTAATTGGTTTCATTTGTTAGTTAGTCTGATCTAAAAGCTTTTTCATAA